GGTTTGTGGTAACCTCTTTTCTGTCTCTACATTTCTAAAATCCTCGGCCTCCTTTCCTTTCTTTCCCATTCATTCCTCCCTCCCTCCTACCACTCCTTCTTATCAGAGACTATCTTTCAGTTGTCCAGTCACTCGTTTATAAACTTTACAACAGGGGCTTTTCCTCTGAGCAGTTTAAGAAGGCCATAAATCTGGCTTGTTTAAATGCAGACTTGTTTAAGCTGCCTTTTACTAAGACCTGATGCACTGCATTCTTCTGCTGCCTAAACAGGCTTTTTAAACATTTACCCCCAAATGTATTTACTGCTTGACTGATACACTCTCTTCATGGAAGTAGAAAGGGAACGGTGGTATTTGTCTCTCTTTATGGGCCGGGGACCGGCAATGGCTGCCACATGGCCAAAGTAAATGTATGGGAAAGAAAAAAAAGGTCCCTACCTGTCTGAATTGAAAGAAAACACAGAGGGAATACAAATAAAGAGGGCAATTTTTATTGAAAAATAAATAGTTTTTTGTCAAACAGACTACTAAACATATCCTTGTTTTCTAATATCAGCACAGATTTACATTCAGCTCTGAAATTGTTAATATCAACTGTGAGTGTTTTGTTTTCAGGGTGATTGTTGCGGTGAGTCCTTAGGAGGCTTCATATATTCATTTTTTTAGCACTGTACTTCCTCAACTCTCTCTCACTTTTTTGTATTCCATTTGCCTACATTGATTGCTAGGAGCACTCAGAAGGTGTTCTCACAACCCGGTCTAATATGATATGCATCTTCGTGTATGTGTATCTGATTATCGATTTACGACCCTGTTCTTCTTTTTCCCACTGAGAATGTGAGCCGCTGCTGCTCCATTAGTCATCTTTACGACGTGTTTTACTGCGCTGCTTACTAGGGGAAGGCCCAGCGCTTGCGGTAAATGTGTTTTTTACGTGGTGATAGAGTGCATTTGCATCCGAGGATCAGACTTAAAAAAGGGCTCATTGTTAAGAAAGACCACACTCCCAGAGAAAGCAAAGGTCAACCCGTCACTTACCTTCAGCCGTCACATGTAAAAGTAGAGGAGCGCTTGTCAACAGCCGCTCACACACACAACGCTATGAACTATTCACGTATACCGTACAGCTTGTTCAAATGCTTTTTGCTGAGCAGCATATCAGACATGCATCTTTTTGTTTTCCCCTCATCCCTCCCTCGCCCTCTTGTAAACCCTGACAACAGCACATTACCCTTCAGCATGCATTACAGCGCACTTAGATCTACAGGGCAGCATCTTTGAAGTTAAAATGGGGGAAAATATCATAAGTATAGGCCTCGCTCCAGATAGCTGTGGCTGGGCTCCCAGATGCTGCTCAAAGATTAGAATCAGTGAGCAGCGATCTGCTCCATCATATGGCTCTCCGACAGACTTGGCAGCAGGTTGTGGGGGGGGTCAGTACAGTATACTAAGGGATGCATGGGGTAAAAGTAAAAAAAACTTCCTTCCACACTAATATATCTAAAGCACCTTTCCCAACACCAGAGGCCCCATTGCTTTCCGATAGCTTTTTTAAGCTTATGTTGCCTAGCAACAAATACCGTTAGGCGCAGTTTTGCCCAGTAACAAAATGTCACAGTAGGATAAAACAGCTGAATCACCGGTTTTGAAGAAGTCTGTGGCAGTAGTGCTGTAACCAGAAGACTCTCCTCTCTGCCAGCCAGCTCCCACAGCTTTGGTCTGACCTTCATGTCTAACATCAGCTCAGAGCCACAAATACCAAGCAGGTGTGGTGATGTCATCAGGTCTCATTCAACATACCACAGAGCCATGCAAAGGGCACAAAGCCCTGCTCTGGAAGGAAGATTGTAGCTGTGAACCCTGGGAACATAGCTAGGAGAGGGTTTATTTTACAGAAGGCTGCCTTTTTAAGATTTACAGTAACTCAGTTAATGGAGGCTGTGATGCATAACTGCCTCTGTCAACTGATTTTCTGTCAGCAAGATTTTCTATCCGCGGGCAATAAAATGTTTTAAAAATGAACCTAGACATATGTCATTTTGAGATGCCAATTAATTAAACCAGGTACATTGGGTTTCTGTGCTATGTTGTAACCATTTCAAATATATACAGGCTTGGATTTGATTGATAGTCAAATCTTTTTTTTTCTACAACTTGATTGCCTCCCATAATAAGATGTTTGATTTCCAATCATTTGAAGCCTGTTGCGTCTGTCAGTAATTACATGTTCAAAAGTGGAAAAAAAAACATAAAAATGTTCTTTTTAAAAATGGTCTTCACTCACAGACTTATCAACAAGGTTAGTTAGTTATTCTTTTCATGATTTCATCCAAGTGATCCTGATGCAACATAAACATTTAGCGTTGACGCAACTAGCAATTAGGAAATGATTCAGCCTTTTGATTGGGATCCATTCTGTGTGCGCTGTGTTTTCTCAGCGAGTGAAGCTACACTACATTAGCATTAATGAATGTTATGGCCTCCCATCAGTTTGACAGGTCTATTCTTTAGATCTGTTTTAATTGTAATTAAGCTCTGATTAATGAGCTGGGGGATGTTTCATTCTCTTTTCAAGAATATAGTATAATATGTTATGAAGGCAATCGAGGGTTTGTCATTTTATCTGCTAATGAGACTCAGCCATATGTCATAACACACTTAACTTGTCTCTGTAGTAGCAGCTTTAGGAGGTTTCATTTATGCTGCTCTTCTGCTCCTGCTCCGGTGCTCTGTGGAGGAAACGTACAGCATATTTGTAAGTAACTGTGAAGAAAAGAGGGTGGGGTCGCCATTGTTGCTTATAGTTTTTAAGAGTGAGCATAAACCGCAACGTCTCCTTTTGAAATCTGGCTGGAGAGAGAACTGAGTAACAACTGTTTTTAGCACTTATTCTCTGAATTGGCTCACAGTGTCTGATCAGAAAAACTAAAGAGATGAAAATAAGAAAGACTTTTTTACCCCATGGTGTTGATTTTATGTTATCTTACCTGTATCAACAGTATCCTGGAAAAGTTTTATCAGCCTCAGTGCGTTTACCTCAAGCACCCAAACTCCATCTTGCTGTTTCTTCCTCTTAAAGGGAAGGCTCTTGTTGCCTTATAGTCTTCTTGAATTCACATTTGCTGTCCATCTTTTTTCTGTGACCTGAGAATCAGTGGTCTGCTCTCTCAAGTGCGCTTATTACTCTCTCTGATTCTGCTGCTTTACCCTGACTGTGTCTGTCCATTTGTTTTCTCCATTTCTCCACTTAACAAGGAATTGCTGATACCCTCAACTTAAAGCAGATCATACCCTGAGCTAGAGCCAGGGTTCTGTTACCCAGCGAAGCTTTTCTTCCAGAAAAACCAAAGGGCTCTTGGGCAATGAGGTTGGGGAAAACTGTGGAACACTTTGTGACTCCTTTGGCAACAACGGATGACTGTGTGCTCAACATGTGTGTGAGTGTTTATACATCATTTCCCCTGGAAAGTGTCATGCTCGCGGGTGGGCGGGGGTTGGTTCTGGGTGGGTTGCGGTTAACCCCTCAAGGTCTCCAGGGTTACTCTGCCTCTGCTCTTTGTCAGATTCTCAGGCGTTCTCACTCTTGGTTTTCTGTGACGGTCTGGCAGAGTGTTAGACTGGCAGAGAAGGGCGGGAGTAGCTATTAGCTGCTTGTCTTTCTAGTCCTGTGAGAACATGAAGGCCTCATTTGCCTTGTGAGCTCAGCTGTCCTCCAGTGCTAAACCCATCGCCAGAGTCCAGTCGTGTGTGTGTGTGCGTACATTGTTCGCTCTTAAGACATTTCCTTTCATTCATGTTATAGTCTGCTACACTGTCACTTTGAAAACACCCCGCAGTTCAATCTCTGTGTCTGATTATCTCAACAGGGTGTCATGGGCGATGCAGAGATGGTCAAGAGATTTATTTTTAAGTCTGTATTTTTTATTTCTAAAGCATTATTTATGTTGCATTTATTTGGTTTAAATCTGATTTGCCTATTTTTAAATCATCAACTCCCTGGAAACATGTCTGATACTGAGTCAAAGACTCTGGAAAGATTCTGAAATTGGCTGTCTCATGGTATGGACCTGGACAATGGGTCTAATATACCAACATCTGTAGTAAATCTCTTATGAAGCTATCTCTTAATTGCTTTCAAAGTATAAAAAGGAGGAATGGCTATAGGTGGACACAAAACGATATCAATGTACATATGGGTAGCTGACAATTGTTATAAAGAATGACTAGAAACTGGTAATACTGTGATCAAATAAAACAAACATGTAGGCAGGGAGCGACAGTAGTGCTTAGTTGGCCTTCAAAACAGCTGTTGTTGAAAAAAAATACAAATCTCAAATTTTCTTTTACTTTTAAAAAAAAAATGATTTATTCTATTATTTCAACAATTTAGACAGTTTGTACATCTTAAAAAGAAACCAAATTTTTAGAAGTGGGAGGGCAGAAAGCATAGCTATACCGTTAGTCATCCTGTTGAAGGAGTAAGTAAAAGATAATTCCGTAATTAAATCCTCACACAGATAAACTACATTCTATATATACATACATATACACATATATACATACATACACCCATATCCAGGTTTTTTTTGGTTAGTTAGAGTAGGCTGCTAATAATCTTTTTCGGAGTCTTGATTTGAATTGTTGATGACAGTCAACATTTGAGAGAGTTTTGTTAAGACCATTCCATAGCACCTAATATGGATAAGCTCAACTCAAGGTGCAGTAATTCTTTCATCTGAACTGTCCATGGTATTGATGACTCTTCATCAGCAGATGTAGATTTTTTCCCCACTATTTTTTTAATCCAAAATGTGCTTAGTATAATGGAGAGTTTAAAAATCCACAATTCCTTGAAACCTGAACTTCTGCTGAGGAAGACAGAGTAAGGATTTATCTTTATTTGCCATCAAAAACGATTTTATCATTTTTGTCATGGAGGTGAATCTGATAATTTAATCAGTACGTTAACAGTGTGTGGGTTTTTTCTTTGTGTTTTGCAGGTGAACGAGGAGACAGTGGAGAGGCTGGTGGTGCAGTACCCTCACATTGTTTTCAGCACGGTGATGCAGGATTGCAAGAGAACCCTGGAGAGAGCTTATCAAATGGGCTGGAGCCCCAACACATCGAACACTTCGTAGCTACTGCTAGAGCTCTCTCTCTCACACACTCTCACACACACACACACACTCACACACACACACACACACACACACACACACACACACACACACACAGCTACACCGAGGCCCTTTTTGTGTACAGACACAATCACACAATATTTGCAGCTCAGTCATGTCTGCCTCCCAGACACGCATGTGAACATGTAGCTTCACACTCACAAAGTTTCAGTTCATCATTTGTTTCATTGAAAGCAAATATTCAATTTGAATCATTTAAGAAAGATATGGGTATGTTATGGTAAAGTGAGACTTCTATCAATCTTAGGTTATACACAACAACATGACTGAATCGTCCGCATCATCATTGTCAATAAGTCAGATTACATCCAACAATATAGTTATTTGACCAGAACAGTGACTAGCTTGTTTTGGTGCAAAGCAGTGCACCAACAAGTGTTTTTTGATATATATTTAGGTGAGTGTTACTCAGTTGTTAAGAGTATTTATAACTCATACATTGTAAGTTGTCCGTATCACTTTGGATGGAGAAATGGTCAAGATGTATGAGCAGCGGTCTGGTCCTCAACACGTGAAAAAGATCAAAAATAAACGCATCATTTGTTTAAAGACATTCAGGTATCATTGGAAAATAATATTTGTAATGAGCATGGAATAAAAAAAAAGGATTGCAGATGTTCCTGAGCGATGTGTTGAGGTCGCCCCTCTGCAGTGTTTACTCCCTTCAAACTGAACTTGACTGCTGCAGTGAGATCGCACAGGACAGATCAGAGACTTAAGCATCAGAGACGACATCTACAACTTCAGACCTGAAGACAGCAGAACCGCCCGTGCTTCACATCTTACTTGAGGCACTGTGATGTTTATTTTGTACATTACAGTAGACGTTTTTTTTTTTCTTCTTTGGATGTTCAGTACAGTGTTAAAGGCATTTGTGGACTCATGATGTTTCACAAGGCTCCATTTTGAAGGACAGAGCTCTTTGCTGTGACTTAATATGCACATTGTCACGGTACAAAAGAAAGTTCAACACCTGGTCAACTCATGGCAGGAAAACAGCATTGATTATGTTCCAAAAAACTGCATGTTTACATTAAGATCCTCATCTTCTTTTTTTCGGCTACAGATATAGCTACTGCTGATCTGTAGGACTTGCTGTTTGTTAATGCCATGCATACATTTAGGGTTGACTGAGCATCAACTTGAGTCAGTACAGAATAAAAATAATGCTTGAAATAGAAGTTGCCTTTACTTAAAAACCATGTTATCAGAATATTAACCACAACCACCGTGATGATAGGTTAGAGGAAACGTTGCCTTAAGTGGTTAGTAGGATATTGCCATCTATTTAGCAACAATCTTTTACTGAAGAAATGTTTGAGTTTAACCGGATACCACAAACCCATTGCTTGATCTGATGTATTCATATAATACTGTGTGGGATTTACTTAGCCTATTATTGGTTTTGAACATATACTTGTAACATAACTATGTAGCAATGCAATGAGGGATTTATCTTTCTTAGTGGTGTAGGATTTAAAAAAAGAAAACAAACAAAAAAAAAACGGCTTGGGCCAATAACCAGGGCCAATGAAAGATTATATGAGAAAGTTGTTCGTTTTGCATCTATTCTATAGTATAGAACCTCAGCAGTGTACAGTTAAAAATGCTAATAACCAGGGTATTTTTCTATGGTGTGAACCTGCTCTGGGCTCGGTCTCCACACATTGTCTCAGACATGAACAATAGCTTGTTGAGCTGAGGGGTGTGGGTGGAACTGTACACTTTCTACAGCAAATAGAGATTCAGACAATTAAAAACACCTTCATTTGACCCTTGTCAGAGGTTGTAGACTTTAACCGATGGAGAGTTTTCCCTCGGCCTGTTTTTGTTCAGTTTCTGTTCTTTTGTAATCCCTATATGCACTTTCTTCTTTGCTAGATGTTGACACACTTGATTCCTGATTTGTTAAGGCAACCGTAAATGACTGGATTTACATAAAGATGAATAAAACACTACTTCAAGCTTTTTTTTCTCTTTTCCTTTTGTATGTATGCAGTTGAGGCAGGAGAAGAATATTCAAAATGACAGTGGAGTACTTTTCCACTCATTTGACATGATCGGACGACTGCTTAAACATATCGGATGTTCTTTTTTACTTTGTTCGACTTCTCATTACAACAATTGCATCTCAACCACAATGACTATAACTGTAGACATTGTGGAATTTAAATTCAACACAGAATCTGTATGCTCAGGTACTGTACAATGCAAAAAGTATACCACCAGGTTTACCATCAACAGGCACCTTGGAATATGCAAGTATTACATACCAAAGCCTCTGTATTAGTACTAATAAATATGTTTTCCACTGATACCCATGCACTGATAATGTATTTTTCTATTGAGCACAATGACACAACAATCAGCCTGCATTTCCATTAAAAGTGTTGTCAAGGTCAGAACTATTGTCACCATCACAGCAGTTCACATCTGAAACAAAGTGAGGAAACATCAGCTTGCTGCTCAGGAAGACAACAAAGGGCTAACAAGCTGTCACTCAACTAGTCCCCAGTCGTTGACATTGTCCCTTAAGTGCCTATTTTCATGTCTAGTGATCAAACACGGGAGAAATAATCAAACGGGATGCCAAGGTAGGTTCTTCCTAGATACATTATTTGTGTTGCCTGCACAGTTTGGGTCAATATGCACAATTTACTTGAGACACAGCTAAACTAGTTAATACTAATCTTGATTAAAGCATAGGGAGCTATAAACATGCACACATACAACACATGTAGAATTTAAAACCAACTGTACTGTATGCACATCTTACTTTCAGAGTGAGGAGAATGTGAAGATATCAATTGTAATCCTACATTTCCAACCTTTACATGGCGGACATTGTTGGAGAAAAAACACACCAACGCCTGTGTAATGTCTTATACCCAGATAGAGTCAACTTCAAACAAAACTGCCTTTCTGAGATTCTTATACTAAAGTGTTCTGTTTATGGTGTGTTTTAAGGCGACAATTTGTGGTTTTGTTTCCAATATAGGAAATATATATACCTCTTCCTAACACATGTATTATAATGTTCACAAATGAATATTGGTTGCAGTTATGGGCTATTGTGTTGGATTTCAAGTATTTCATTGTTCATTATGTTGTGTTCACCTCGTGTGACACTCGCTCACAACAGATGGATGAAAATAAATTACAGCTGCTTGAAACTCAGCGGTTTGTAAACATAAAACAACATGTGTAAAGTTGTGTATCACTTCAGATTTTCTTTTACAACAGCTGTTTGTGTGACCAACCCACTATATTATTACCTTAATGGGATGGTGTAGCTGTAGATAAGGAAAACATAAGAAAAATAAAAGAAGGGTATATGACATGCAACGAATGTCTCTCTGTTACAAACTCAGGGTATTGGACCCAATTGCACGACCCAGGAGACAGGTAAAGTATTTGTAAGATACTTTATTTTCAAATAGATGAACAAAATAAACACTTTCTAATCTCTAGATGAGATGACAAAAGGTGAACAAAAGAAAGTCGCTCACGCAGTGAGGAACAAAAACCATCATGGTATCAAAGAGAGCATAGATCTGACCTAGGCATGAGACAAGACAAACTGGGAGACTGGGGAATTTAAACACATGACAACAAGACACAACAATCAGGGACGGGGCTGCTGCTGATGAGCGCGGGAGACACACAAAAGGTAGACAATCAGGGAGCCTGGAATTACAGGGTAAACTATAGCCTCATCCCAATCCCAATCCCCTCCTCGACTCCTCCTTTCCCTCACTCGAGTCCCTTCCTTGCGTCTTAGCTCCGCCTCCGTAAGATGCGAGCGAGAGACACGAGGAGGTGACGCGAGGACAGAGGAGTCCTCAGGTATTAATTGGGATGTCCTCGTTCACTCAAACGTCACTCTTAAACGACGTCTGTTAATGATGACATGTGCACAGCTGTATCCGCTCTCATCGGGTTTAACTGAATAACCCTTTAGAACCGGACCATTTGTTGTTAAATATTTATTTAAATGAATGAATCTTTCTCTTGTTAGTCAAGGAATTAAATGTATGATGTTTGGTACTGCTTTTGTGTTCCGTTTTGGTGTAACATGTAGCCTACATTTAAATAAAAATATAATTATAGTAATGTGAAAGCCTTTTAGAAATGAATTACACATAATAATCCCCACGGAGCTGTGAGCACTTACACATTTATGTGACGCTTTTCCACTCATCTTCCAGTTGTTGGTTTTCCTCTGTTGAAATCGACCAGGCTGTGAAGGTGGGGACTGGGCTTTTATACGCGAGTAGTGAAAACAGTTCCGCGTAGTCTGCTCGCGTGTATCCTCGCGTGTATCCTCCCTTTCGTCTCCTCCCGCAACCCTCCTCCCTCACCCCTCCTCGACTCCTCCGTTTGCATTTCAGCGACGTCCTTCAAAATGGCGTGTCTTGATCGATTTCCGGGTCAAGTCCCGGAGGAGGGGAAGAGAGGAGTCGGGGAGGGGTAT